TCTTTATTTTTGGAGTGCTTGGAAGTATAACAATTTATCTCGTCAGGCCCCAACAGCATTGACAAGTATACGGAAAAACATGTGTTAACAGTTGGTCAGCATGTGAAAAAACAGCACAATTTTTAAAAGCAACATGTTCAGATTAAGTGTTCCTGTCTTAAAGCGATCAGTGCGTAATATGCTTGTCTGGCGGGAACACTTCTAGCCATATAGAATATATCTATTCTGGTATTATAAGAACAAGATGATCTGTAGATTAGACTAAGATGTCTAGCTACAGGAGTAGACAGCGGTGAATCTTAATAGTAGCTGTTACAGTGGGATAAACCCGATATGTACATTATATATTATCTATTGATAATCTGTGCGGTCAGGTGGATTTAGCAATATAGCAAATGGTACATTAGGTGAACAAGCTATGGTGGGTGCAGTGTCAGTGGAAAGGTATACTGCCGTGACAGCATTTAGAGCATGGGGAGTGTGCAAAGAAGAAAGTAATACATGGTAAAGGCATATTTCTCAAGGCTTCGTGTTTAGCATGCAAAACTCCGAAATTTGTTGTTCTGGGTGTTAGGCAGAGAATGCGTCCATGTATCATTCTCAGAGGCAAAGTTGGGGTATAGGTATGAATGGGACCAAAAAAGAAAGCATAGGTGTAACGAGAGTCCACCTGGTTAAACAGGGTCTGTATTGTCGTCCGTGTCAGCGTCCTTGCTGGGACATGCCAAAAGACCGTCCGCGGCTTCTCACCCGTTCATCCGATGCCCAGTCTGTGGGGAGGTCGTGGTTTGCTCTGCAATGGGTAGGTGTCTTGCGGGTCTGTACCTTTCTTGAGGGTGTGAGGCTGTACTGCGCCTGAGTGCCTCGTGGTGCTCCTGCACATAGGTCTGCCATCTTGTGCGTTGTGGGTGTTAGAGTCCCGTTAGCTTGGCCCTTGTCTGTGCTATTCACCGCCATGTGCTTTCCCCCGGGTTTTGCAAGCCTCCATGGGGAGACAGGCGTATGTATTTTCAGCTTTTGTAGCTTTTTGCGGGAGCGCCACAGGTTTATCTGGGTGCTTGGCGGTTTTGGGCGCTTGGCAGGGCTGTGTAGGTAAGTCTGTGATTTCTCAGGTTCGGCTGTATGTTGGACGGGTTGTGGTGTGACCATCTGCCGTGCTGCCAATTGTGCCCAAAATTTGTCAAATATCAGATTCAACCATGCTTGAGAGGCTGCTAGGTAGGCCTCGGTTGTGAAGTTGCTTGTGCGTTCTGCCATCTTGGATGCTGCTCTGCAGTGTAGCCCAAGAGGTAGCAAGTATAGTCGTGGAGGGCCTCCTGGGACCGGGATAACCCCCCGGTCCAAAAAAGGGGGGGGGGGCGGATGCAGGTGTCCGCTATTATTAACAGGGTTCAGTGTGGGCACTGGAGAGCGGCCGTCTCTCCGACGCCTGAGAAGCTTGTAGGCCGCAGGTGGTTAAATGCTGGTAATCCGGGTCTGCGGGGTTCCGAGTTTGGTGTCGTTCAGATCACCGCGATCCCCTCTGTTTAGCCCGTGAGTTTTGCAGTAAAATCCGCTGCTTAGCTGCCGTTATTCGTAATTTTCGTTGATTTGGCCCAGGAGCTCTTTCAACGTGTGTCTGCTCAGTTAGCCTCTCAGGCCCCGCCCCCCCATGTGATATTTTAACACAATGCAATATAAAATCATTTAATGTGCAGTGTATTTTTATTATGTAACGAGGCTAAAATATAAGTAGGCTAAAATAGTTGCATGTTTAATCCTCACATTATTTGGTAATACTCACTACACTATGGCCTCTTCAAACTGCAGCAAGGTCTTGGGCGGGAGGCGGATGTGTGGGTGGAGCTATCATCGCGGGGGCGGAGCCTGCACACGCGAGGCAAAGCTGGAGCCTGTGTGCAGGGGAAGCTGCTGGGAATTCGGAAGGGAGACTGTCGGTGCTCTCTCCCGCCCCCAGCAGCCTCAATGCAGCTGCTCCAGCACACAGCAGCTATCCACAGCACCCAACACCTCTCTCCAGCAGTGAGCCCCTCTGTCCTGAATTCCCTCAGACTGTAACAAGCTGTTACAGTCTGAGGGAACATAATAAAGCCCAGCGACTCAGCGAGCAGTAACTTTCATTTGGGGGGGGCACAAAGGGGGGCACAGCCTGATCTAGGGGGGGCCATGGCCCCCTCTACCCCCCCCCTAGTGACGCCACTGCTCGTCTTGAGAAAAGATTCATGTCTTTATTCCAAAAAAAAGACAGGTTTATAGATAGGTCTACGTTTCAGTACAACC